AAAACCTTAATTTTCTCATTGAGTAGAGTGGTCTTTTATTTATATATTTTGTTATTATAAATAGGTTTCTATATCGTGTATCTATCAAATTGTATTCTATTAATTAATGTTGTAATTATATCTTGTTTCATTTTCTCTTGCTTTTGTATTTATATTTTGGGTGTGACTCAAGGAAATACAAATACAGTCTGTGGAAAATGAGAAATGAAGGAAATTTGAAAATAAAATGAATGGTGAAAAATGGATGAGAGACGTGATTGTATTCTTTACTTTAGATTAGAAAAATTATATAAAAGTTAATATCTATTTTTTATGTTATTTTTTTAATTTTGCCCTTAAACGTTTAGAATGGAAAAATTATATATACATTATATATTTCTAAATTTTTTATGTTATTCCGACGTCGTCGGGTCTCTTTTCGATGTCTAGTGCGTGGGATGTGCTGCGGCCGGTTCGATCTCTTGTTCCTTGATTTTCTTTGCTTTGGTTTGGTGGGAACAATCCGAAGCATTCTTTTATCGCTTGGTTGGCGGTACGAGATCAGCTTGCTACGAGAGATTGGTTATGTCGTTTGGACTCTTTTGTTCCGGTTTTCTGTGTGTTTTGTGCTGGCATGGAGTACTGGGACCATCTATTCTTTGAGTGCCCTTTTAGTTGTGAGGTCTGGTCTGCATGCTTACTTGGGCGGGTTCTTCTTCACCATATTTCATATCGGTCTACTAAGCTTGCTTGAGTTTGTCATATTAGTGTCGGGAAGTCTGCTCGTCGTAGTGTGTGGCGCTTGGCGTGGACTTCAGCTGTTCTTTTATCTGGAGGGAGCATAATGCTAGAGTTCATGCGAGTGGGATGGGGCGGTCGCCGTCTGTCCTCGTGCGGGCCTTGAAAGCTAAGGTCTATTATCGTTGTACTACCTGACCTGCGAGCTGCTCTTTAAGTTCTGATCCTATATGTTTCTCTCGGCTTGAGATTTGTTTTCTTAAGTTACATGTCTTACTTCTTGTTTTGTGTTTACCCTTTGGGTGTTGTGCCTTGATCTCGGGCTGTGAGATCTTCCGTTTTTTTGTTTAATATATTTACCTTTGCAAAAAAAAAAATTATATATACAAAAAAGTTAGACATGGTAAATTTCTAGAATTGGACACGGTAAATTTCTAGAACTGGACACGGTAAAATTTCTAGAACCGCCCTTACATGTTTTAAAAATGAAATATATATGGCCAAAACGAGCATAGCTTAGCAGTAATTGACATATACCTCCAACCAAAAGGTTATATGTAGGATGGTTAGTAACATTCTTTTTTTTTTAGTTTTATGTTTTAAAAAATTAACCACACCTTAGTTTTACGAATGTTTTGTTTCGTTTTAACACCTTTTGAAAAAAAGGTCATGGACAAAAACCAATGTTTTAAATGTCGATGTCGATGAAAATGTTGATGTTTCAATTTCATGAAAAATTTGATAGAAATATGGATAAAATATTAATGTCAATGAATATTTTTGAAAAAGTTATAAAAAAAATTTGTAAAAATATTTAAATTAACAAATAATCATTTAACCATTTTAAATTAAGTTTAACATTATTAATATTAATATCATATCTACTACATTAGTGATATTTTTCATATTTTGTCGATTGTTTTGCAACATTATGAAAAAGTCGATTTATATCTCGTATTGATGTTGAATTTATAGAAATGTGAAAATGTCAATATGTTGACGCAAATTTAATATCCTCGCAAAGATTTTCTTTTTTGATATTTGAGAGCACTCCTTATAACTAGAGACAACTGCATCCGTTCAAAAGTACGTACTCGAGGGATATAAAAAATTCTTTGATATCATGTTTATGGTAAGATTTGAATTTGATATGGTAAGATTTGAATTTGAGACCTCTAAATTAACCTAAGAAATTCGAAGTGAACTTCTCCCCGGATATCTTGACAAAGACTTTGGTTCAACGTACACGGTCCCTTCATAATTTGAACATTAAAATCTTGTGGTTATTTGCTAAATGTCGCTGTCGCAAGCCTAGCTGTTCACGAAAGTCGAAAGACAAAACACGAATTTGTGGCTTGAGTTGGATCTGTGCCAAATTTAATCGCTGTCACAACCATTTTTTCTTCAAAAAAATGTGGAAAAAAAATTAAATTTATGTGGATGATTTATCATTTTAGTATGAACATCAAAGAAGACTTTATTGTCCTTGTTTAATTTTTTTTGATAAAATTATCCTTATCAAAAAATTAAAAAAAATTGAGTCATGTCTTTTTGCCTGTAGAGCTGCAAATTGAACCCGACCAAACCATTGGTTTGCAATTTTATTCGGTTTAGTGCAGTCTACACACCATCTTTGATTTGGCATGGCTTTTACTTTTTCTTTTCTATAATTTGATTATATTTTGGTTTGGCTCTCAAACTGAACAAAACCAAATTGTAAACAACCCTAGTGTATTATAGTGACTTACTTGCTATCTTCGTTGTACTCCATATTTGTTATATTTTGGAAAAAAAAAAAGCAATCGAATTTCTTTTCAACTAACATAAGATTCAAAGGTTAACCATCACTCATATAAATCTAAAAATGGAAAAAAAAAAGAATTTAAAGATTTCAAGGCATATTATTCCATTAATTCCAAGCGGCAACAATTAGACATTTTTTATATTGACCAATATTCCTTTAAAATAAAAAAAATCAATTACTAAATAAATATTGTACCCTTCTTAAATAAGTTATAAAGTCTTATTGTTAATATTTATATTCATATTAGTTATTTTTGTTGATATATATTTTTCTTATATGTCATTTGTATTTATACGATGATGCATGTATCGAAAATATCAATTAACTCTTAAATATTGATATAGATTGGTGGATATTAGGGTGTGGTCACTGGGCCTGAAAAGAGACCCAGCCTAGGAAAATTAAGATATTATTGTTTGGGCCTGGACCAGGTCAGCCCAAAATTTAAATCGGGCTCATGGTCCAGTTTATGGAATTAAGATGAGAACAGTGCTCCATAACCATTTTTTGGAAAGTTCAATACGATTAAAATAAATATTTCGAAAATTTTAAACGAAAATGAAAAAATTGAAGATTAAAAAGCTAAAATGGGATTTAAATAAAAAAATTGAAGTTTGAAGATGTAATTAATTTTTTGAAAAACTTAATAGACACCACCATCAAATATTTTTAAGATTAATTTAACTATTTAAAACAAGTATTAACTTCCACAAATAATTTATACCACTCCCCTACCCTCACTAATATACAAATTCGTATAATTTCTTTTATTTCAACCACAGTGGTAGGATTCCAACTCACAAGAGGTAACTTATTTCTTGACCATGGTCTATATGCTTTGATATAGTTATTTTTAGAATGAAAACAACACCTATATATAGTTTCTTACTTGTGGCCATTTCTACTAATCAAATTTAATTTACGTTGTAAACTTTCTTGTAAAATCATTTATAAAATTGAGCTTGGAGATGTGGATTTTTTTTAATACAACAATTTGGAGACATAGATGATCGAACATTGGATTTTGAAGGAATGAATATATGTCAATTACTATTGAATTATGCTCATATTGACTACAGATCTGAACTTAAAATAACTTCAAGAGGACTTCTGATATTTGATAATTCCAACACCCTTTTACGGATTTTCTAATGGCCTATCAAATTCAAACACATGAAACAGATTTGCAAGCGTGAGATTTATAATTTAGAGGGTAGAAGGCGAAAGAGACTCCTTCAAGGGAGTGAGGACCATTTTTTCCGAAAAGATAAATCATAAATACTGCAATTTTGTTATAATTATGAGAGATTATATAAAAAGAGTGATCTTAATTCAATAATTTATGGAAATAAATAACATAAATGATTTAAATTTAAAAAATGACAACTACTACATGACAGTCGAATACTAAAGTGTGGTGGTCCTATTTTCCATAAAACTATTTAAGAATGAATTAAATATTTTTTTTCTAATATACATGTGTAGATTCGAACTTGCCTGTGAAATTATAGGCACATGTTGGGGAATCAAAATTAGTCTTTACCGTGAAATTTCTTTTTAATTTTTTTCCGCATAAATTCATAAATTTCTAGATTTCTCTCTTCATTATTTACTATTACTTATCCTTAAAAAAATTTCTATCACTATATATTTTTTTAATATATCACTCTTATTTTTCTCCCTCTAAAAATTTTGATATTTTTAACTAAATTTTTTCTTGTTCAATTTTTAAAGATTTTTTTCTACTTTTCCTTATTATAAATTTCTTTTATCTTTCAATTTATTGGGTTATCTAACGTGTCTTTTCTCTCCATTTTACGCTCTTTAAAATTTTATATTTTTGTCTTTAACTTTTCTCTCACTAGTTTTTTTCTAACTTTTCTTTCTCTCCAATTTTTTCTCTTTAAAATTTTGTGGGATCCGCTCCAAGAACAGTGAAGGGATTTCCACCATATCTTGATCCTGTTCACATTACATTTTCTAAGTAATTACTATATCTTTTATTAACAGTTTTACAAAATTGAAAATTAAAAACTAATTATTTTTTAAAACTAGTTATTAATAGTAAAAATAGATTTTCAGTAAAGTAAATATAAATTATATATATTTATTACTATTTATTTAATTCAAAAATAAATAAAATTAATTATAAACCTGTAATTTTTTTTCTGCGAAGAACTCATTAAGTACTTAATAATTCCTCAACTGGAACATGGAGGTGTGGAGACAGAGACTAAAAATGTCAGTGAAGATGAGGATGGAAAAATAATTTCTATCTATTCTCTTTTATCCTACGACCTAAGATGACCCACTTATTCTTAATTTGATGCTACTTGTTTAAATTTGTATGTAAGATTCTAAAAAGAAATTGTAATACCCATTAAAGATGATATTCTAATACCCATTAAAGATGATAATTAGGATGAACTGATTTCCACTAAACATCTCGCATACATACATTGTTTACTATAACTAGATGTATAAAAGAAAAAGACATAGTTTCTTATTTACTTTTCATTTCAAGCATATACTTTTTTCGTGACTTTATCATGGAATTATTCATAAATTTGAGCAGAAAGACGTTGAGATAAAACAACCTCAAGTGGTGTTTTTCTGGTAATGTTTAATCCGGCGCTCTCTTCCATATTGAGTGGTTCTTCGGATGGACGTTTAATTTCAAAACCATGAAGTAGTTTTGCAAGCGTCAAGTGCATAACTTGAATGGCAAATGACATTCCAGGACAAATTCTTCGACCAGCTCCAAAAGGTATCAATTGGGGATTTTGTCCTTTAACATCAAAATTCTTTTGACTTGTTATAAACCTCTCTGGACAAAATTCACCAGGATTCTCCCACACAAGTGGATCTCTTTGGAGCTTATGAAGATTCACAAACAGTCGTGTACCTATTGGGATGTGATACCCTGCAACAGTACAATCTTCTATAGATTCATGAGGGACTGAGAGCGGTGCCGCTAGGTACAAACGCAATGTTTCCTTCACAACAGCTTGGAGATATATCAGATTTTTTATATCGGATTCATTCACTTGTCTTTCTCTCCCAACCTGTTCGTCTAATTCAAGTTGGACCTTCTTGAGTGCTTCTTCGTTATTGAGGAGTAAAGAAAGAGCCCATGTCATTTCTACCGATGTAGTGTGAAATCCACCCAATATCAAAGCCTACATGAGTTTCAACTTAAATTCAATTATTTGGAATCTTCCACCACTTTGTTTGAAAATTAAAATTTAGAAAAAATTACAAGTTTAGTCTTTGAAATATTCGGAGTGTGTCTAATTAAATCCATGAATTTTAGAAAGTGTCTATAATCTCTAAATATTGTGTCTAATATCTTCGTAACCTTTAAGACTGTATCTTAATAAGTCCCTAAACTTTAAAAGTGTGGATACCTTTTAATTTTGTGTTTAATATCTCTCTTATCTATTTGTCATTTTGTTTTACATTCATAGACTTTAGACAAACCTTCCATCTTAATTTTGTGTCTAATAAATTAGATATTTATTAGATACAAAATAAAAGTTCATCCCTACCAAACACGTAGCTTTAGCGACGGTATCGACATCGTAGCCGGAAAGTTCATCATCCTTAACGGTAGACAACATCACGTCCATGAAGTCGTGCTCCTCCATCTCCACTCCATCAAAACTGTTCCTCTCCCGATGCTCTTTCAGCCATTTATCAAGCACCTCATCAAGCACCTTCGCCGTGTTCCTCATAGCCTTCTCATACCCTCCCAAATCCAACCAACTCAGAAACGGAAACGAATCCGACGGAATAAATGCCCCAAACAAATCAAAGAAATCACTCAAAGCCTTGTGATACTGCTCCCCACCGCTGCCCTCAAAAGCAGTGGAGAACCGCTTTCCAACCACGATCCTGAATATCGTGTTCAGCGTTATGTCCCCAAACCACGTCGTCATCTCCACCAACGCTTTCCCGCCGCCTCCTTCGTTGATCACACATAATTCATTCAGTCTCTTAATCGAACTCTCAACCTCCGATTTTCTGATGTGTTGGAGCTTCTCCAAACGGTGGTTCGCCAGGACTTCCAGCGTCACAATTTTGGGCACGTGTTTCCAGTGCGAACCGTACGGGCTTGTTCCGAACATGGCGTATTCGTAGCCGAGGAGCTTTGCGGCGGCAACTTTGGGGCGGGATGCGAACTTTTTGTCGTTGGTCGTAAAGCACTCCCTTGATATTTCCCAGCCGCTCACCACCAGGGCTCTGTGCATGCCGAATCTTAACATGAAGATTGGGCCATGAGCGTCGGCCATTCTGCCCAAGGTTGCGTGAGCTGGCTCTTTCCCGCTTAGTAGATGGAGGTGGCCGATCACCGGCCAGCCACCGCCGGCTTCCGGTGGCAGATTCTTCCGACGAGTGCCGAATCTTGAGGATATGGTGAAGAGAGCGTAGAAGAGAAAGAGGAGGGCTAGGATTGCAGCGGATACGTGAGGAAATTCCATTTTTGGTGAGTGAATATGGTTTGCGTTTGGAGATGAGGGAAAGATTTATGAGTTAGAACTTTGAAGTCACGATTATTGGGAGATAAGGTGAAATATTGAGTGGCCCAGGATAAGATAGGCTGATTGAAGGCATGGGTTCCCATATGTACTTTTTCCTCGAGTTTATAATTAAAATAATATATTTGTTAAAGTTTTTTTCTTTTTCTAATGTAATTTTGCATTTTAAATTTTCAACTATTTGGATAATTAATTTATGAAAAATATTTAGCTCCTTAAAATTAAAGATATTGGTAAATATTCACATTATTTTTTTAATTTTTGCGTGCCTCTCTCTTAATTTTTAAATATTTAATGATGTTAAAAGATGAGATAATTTCAAAGAAATCAAGTCTTTTCCGTTATAAAATAGTTTTTTAAAACATCCTTAAAATATAGGTTGGATGGCTTGAGGCTTTAAAGAATATTCTTGAGATCTTAACTTCAAGTCATAAGAAATGCAACTTTACCGAGAAATAACCCTTGCCCATATACGAGTAAATTTTTTTTTTGTATATAATAATATGGTAAGAAGATTTCAAATTTAAAAAGAACATGCATGGTTTAATCAACCTTTTGTCATAGGAAACAAACCTAATTTTTTTACTTAACTTTGTTTTCTAATTACATTATTTGTTTATGTATCATTCATAAACTCGGACAGAAAGGCGTGGAGTTATAATAACTTGAAGTGGGGTCTTTTTAGTATTGTTCAACCCAACACTCTCCTCCATATTGAGTGGTTCTTCAGACGGGCGACAAATGTCAAACTCATGAAGTAGTTTTGCAAGTATCAAATACATAGCTTGGATGGCAAATGACATTCCAGGACATATTCTTCGACCAGCTCCAAACGGTATCAATTGAGGATTTTGTCCTTTAACATCAAAATTCTTTTGACTTGTCAAAAACCTCTCTGGACAAAACTCATTCGGATTCTCCCAAACAAGTGGGTCTCGTTGGAGCTTATGAAGATTCACCAATAATCGTGTCCCTGCGGAGACGTAATACCCAGCAACAGTAACATCTTCCAAAGATTCGTGAGGAACTGAGAGTGGGGCTGCTGGGTACATACGCAACGTTTCCTTTACAACCGCTTGAAGATATATTAAATTCTTCATATCTGAGTCCTCCACTTGTCTTTCTCTTCCAACATGTTCGTCTAATTCAAATTGGACCTTTTTAAGCGCTCCTTCATCATTTAGAAGCAAAGAAAGACCCCATGTGAGTTCTGTTGTGGTAGTGTCAAATCCACCCAATATCAAAGCCTACACAAAATTGAGATTATTGTTCAAGATGAACTTAGTTTTCAAACTAAAATGTTTATGGAGAAATCCATTTAAAACTTATGTATATGCATACCAAACATGTAGCTTTGGTGACTGTATCGGCATCGTAGTCAGAAAATTCTTCATCCTTAACCGTAGACAACATCACGTCCATGAAATCCAGCCCCTGATCCATTTCCATTCCACTTGAAATTCTCCTCTGTTTATGCTCTGTGAGCCATTTCTCAAGCACCTCATCCAACACCTTGGCCGTCTTCTTCATGGCCTTCTCATAACCTCCCAAATCCAACCAACTCAGAAACGGGAAAGAATCCGACGGAACAAATGCCCCAAACAAATAAAGAAAATCCCTCAACGCCTTCTGGTACTGCTCCCCACTGCTGCCTTCAAAAGCAGTGGAGAATCGCTTTCCAACCACCATCCTAAATATCGTGTTCAAAGTCACTTCTCCAAACCACGCCTTCATCTCCACCAACACTTTTTTGTTGACGCATAACTCATGCAGTCTCTTAATGGAGCTCTCAACCTCCGATCTTCTGATGTGCTGGAGCTTCTCCAAACGGTGGTTGGCCAGGACTTCAAGCGTCGCAATTTTGCGCACGTGTTTCCAGTGGGAACCGTAAGGGCTTGTTCCGAACATGGCGTATTCGTAGCCGAGGAGCTTTGCGGCGGCGAGTTTGGGGCGGGATGCGAATTTTTTGTCGTTGGTCGTAAAGCATTCCCTTGCTATTTCCCAACCGCTCACGACCAAGGCTCTATGCGTACCCAATTTTAACATGAAGATTGGGCCGTGAGCGTCGGCCATTTTGCCCAACGTTGTGTGAGCTGGCTCTTTTCCACTTAGTTGATGGAGGTGGCCGATCACCGGCCACCCACCGCCGGCCTCCGGTGGCAGATTCTTCCGACGACTAACGAACCTTGTGGGTATGGTGAAGAGAGCATAGAAGAAGAAGAGAAGGGCAAAGATTGTTGCAGCGGATACGTGAAGAAAATCCATTTGGGTGAGTGAATGAATGGTTGGTGATTCTGATTGGAGATGAGGGAAAGATTTATGGGTTTGAACTTTGAAGTGGAATATCAGCGGCTGATTCATCTTTACAAATTTACAACAGCTTTTTTTAATGTTTGAAGAAATTACGTCTTTTCCTTCCTTAATTCAACCCTTTGTCATTTATCTCGCTAGAGCCTATGGCGTGACAACTCCAACTTCTGACCCAATACCAATGCTACATTCACTAATTGAGCATCTTTATTGCTCCAACAGTGATGTCTAGGCAGTCAACTTAATTTGAATAATAACTCGATTATTGGTTTTTTTTTTTGTTTGACAAATAACTTGATTATTGTTAACTCACATATTTATGGTCAAAAAATATTTTTGTGGGTTAGAATTATCACCCTCACATGCTTGCTCTACTAATTAATGTCTAGATTGAGCTATATGTCCAGCTGAGTAATGTCCAGCTGAGTAAAGGTAATCTTGTGCACCTAGTGTCTTGGGGGCTACTTTACCGACACTTAACTCCTTTTAATAATAAGGAGCAATCTTATCATCATCACTCATAATATTTGAAAAAAATACAATTTTTAAATGATGGTTAGGACAACATTTGATCCTTGCCGATTAGTTTGTATGGGTAACCTCAACGCCTGTCACGATGTATGAAGTTGTTAGATACAGTGAGGTGTCACCTAAGTCGGCTTAATTTTCGAAATGGTGCTCCCGAGATGTGGAGTCCTTAAACGTGCTTGACCTCATGTATTCAATGTTTTATGTAATTTTTGTTTCCATCATATAATATAAGTTTTGATATTGACATTTGTAGGATAAATTTAAAAAATAAAAATAAAAACCATATTTAGTTACTTATGGTTACGATGATTACCCGATAAACAAAATTGAAAATTTGAAAACCTTCCCGTTGAACTTAAAAGAGAAAGTATAGAACCGTCAGAAATTCAAATTCCACTCCAATTTGTTCCATCTTTTAAAAAAATAAAACTCCCGAACTTGTACGTTATCATTCCTCTTATCTCCAAAATTCTCGTCGCCAAGTGTGAAGATAGTTATTTTTTACATGGTGTGACAGCGAGAGTGTGTGTTTTTTTTAGCAATAGGATGACAAAATGTTAATATAATATACATAGTGGCCCAATTCTATTTCTTTGCTTCATAATTAATGTTGATTACAATGAATCTGAAGTGAAATAATCGAAAGGCAACTAATCTTCTTTTAGTATTCCAAAGAAGTAATTGATTGAGCAGTTGACAGATGATCCAAGGGAACTTTTTATCTTCGGATTTTAAAAAGAATCGGCTAATAAGTGGTTTATTTTGGGTTAGTTACACTCAATAAGGGAAAACCGCTGGCTATTGACAAATTAGTAAGAATCTTTTGCTAACCATCATAAAGCAAGGGAGAATAATGCAAGAAGGATGAAAGATAGAAAAATAGACCACCACTCAAACAAGTGTAAGTCAATAAAAATGAGGAGGAAGAAACAACAATGCATGAGTTATTCCGACTTTGATACCATGTTCAGGATGAATAAACACCATTTAACCAAAAGCTTAAATTAATGGTTCGAGTAAATTTAATTCATATATGAATATCTTAATAAGCCATATTTTTCACAATTAAGAGAGAAATCCACAAAGAAAGAGGGACAATAATGATTTTTTTCTTTTTGTCAAAAGAATAAGTAGTTGTTAACTTTTGAACAATAGTCACAGACAAAGCAAAAATATTGGTAAAATGTCGATGTCGATGGATATTTCTATAAATATTATAAAACTAAAAAATCCGTAAGTTTGAATTATAATACTAAAAAAGCACAAAAGAACCACCGGAAAGAAAAAAAAATAGTTTATTTCATATTTGTTATAATTTGAAAAGAAAAAAGAAGTTTCCTTTTTAATCACTATATTTTTCTTTTAATTTTGCTAGCACATCAATCCAATTACATCACAAACCATTTGTTATCTTCGTTGTACTCCATATTTTTTATTCTTAAAAAAAAACAATCCAATTTCTTTTCAACTAACATAAGATTTTAATGCTAGCCATCAACTAATATAAATCTAAAAATGAAAAAGAAAAAAATAATTTAAAGATTTCAGAGAATATTAGACATTTTTTATATTGACCCATATTCCTTAAAATTAAAAAAGATCAATTAATAAATAAATATTGTGCCCTCCTTAAATAAGTTTTAAAATCTTATTGCTAATATTTATATTCATATTAGTTATTTTTGTTGATTTATATTTTCCTTATATGTCATTTGTATTTTTATAGGATAATGCATGTATCGAAAATATGGAAGTAAAAAAAAAAATGTATCGAAAATATCAATTCTCTTAATATCGATATAGATTGGTGGATACCAGGGTGTGGTCACCGGGCCTGAAAAAAGACCCAGCCTAGGAAAATTAAGATATTATTGTTTGGGCCTGGATCAGATCAGCCCAAAATCTAAATCGGCTTCATCGTCCAGTTTATGGAATTAAGATGAGAAACAGTGCTCCATAACCATTTTTGGAAAGTTCAAATTGAAAATTTTAAACGAAAATGAAAAAAAGTTGAAGATTCAAAAGCTAAGATGGGAATTAAACTTAAAGTAAAAAAAAAAAATTTCTTAATAGGTCTTTAACATTGTTTAATTAGTTTCTATCATCAATTCAAAGTTTACCTGACCAAATTTTTATATTTGTTCAGAAACAAGTCTGATCACCTAATCTCTAAATAGTACAGGCTGTATGATACACGTATAAGCAACGAAAGTAGATGAATCAAGATAAATATTTTGAGAGTAAAATAACCAAAATAAATCAAGGTTGTAAATGTATGGACCAAAATAATATTTAAATGTATCTCTTACTGGTTCTCAACCATTTCCACATGTATACATTTTCTCTCACTGATCTCTCTATGTTACACACTCTCTCTTATTGATTTCATTAGTTACGTTTAAAATTTAATTATTTTATTTTCATGTTTTTTTCGTTTTAATTACTATTCTTTAGAAAATTTTCAAATCTAGAAAATAGATATTAACTATTAAAAAAAAACCCTTCCCAAAAAAAAACAACTATTAAGAAAAACCATGCCAATTGAATTAAAAACACTTGAAATGTTAGACGAGATGAGGAAATATATTATTACAAAACAATTTCAATAGAAACGCTTTTCCACATCCCTCTTAAACATGCTTTTGGAGTGGAAAATTTATGGTACTTCTGCTTGTGTGATTTATTACATGTCATATCAACATCACATGAATATTGTAAAATCGAATACTATTACAAAATTATTTATAAAGGAAAATTATTGTGTGACATAATACTCCCGCATGGTCCTAATTTTTTTTTTCTTCGGTACACAGCCAGGCCATAACTATCAGGAATAGAGACCAAATCAACGTGGAAGTAGCCAATTTGAGCCATGAAGGCGAGAAGGTAACTATGGGGTGACCAACACATTGAGGGGCGTCACTTTCTCTGTTGCCATTCCAAAACCCTCTAACATATCAATTGGTTTGCCGGTTAGATTCCTCACATTAAATGAGTGTAAAAATGCAGCGAGAGTAAAGTGCAGCATATTTGAAGTCCAAAACAAACTCCAGGACATACTCTTCATCTGCTCCCAAACGGAAACAACTCGAAGTGATTCCCTTTCAAATCCACATCTTTGTGGGTTGTCAAGAACCGATTTGGCTTGAATTCAAGTGGATCGGGCCACACTCGTGGGTCGGTTTGGATCTTCCAGATGTTTGGCATCAACTGGGTACCTTTAGGGATGGAGTACCCTGCAACCACGCAATCAATGAGGAACTCGCACGGTCCCAAAAGAGGTGTTGCTGGATACAATCGCAACGTCTCTTTAATTATGGCTTGCATTGTAAACAAGCTTGCTTATGTCAGACTTGTGTACTTGCCTGTGTCTACCAACCATTGCATCAAGCTCCTGTTACGCCCTCTCCAAAGTATGTGGGTTGTTTAGCATTAACGATATTGTCCATGTTAGAGTCACTGTGGTGCTTTCAGTTCTATTGTGGAAAAAGTTTTTTCCTTAAATAAAATTAATTATAAATTTGGTTCAATTAATTTTTTTTAAGTTGTGTTTATTTAGTTAGTACAACTTAAAATATTTCATATATGTTTGAAATTAATTTTAAAAGTTGTGTCTATTATAGATTTTTGAACGTTCAATTATTGTTTAAGAGGTATGTATGTCATCAATTTCGTTACTTAAATTGACTTTACCAGATTCCTAAACTAAATAATAAGTCCTCGTCACTTAATTTTTAAATAGTATAGACACAGTGTGACATTCATAAACAATAAATGAAAGGTTTAGAGTCTTATTTGTAAATTTTAAAGTTTAAAACCAAAGTTGTGGTTTTGATAATAGTATTCTATCCTAACAACGAAGCTTCTCGCCATCAAATAACAAAAGGAGAGAATACATAAAATCTACATTTTTTTTATAATTCAAAGATAAAATTTGGCTCCTCAAGCAACCTTGTCCTAACTACCATTAAATATTTGACAAATCATTATTTTTTAAATTAAATTTGTTGTCAAATTTGTAATGGTGGTAAGGACAAGGTTGCTCCTTACTAGTGAGAAATCATGTTTTATCCTAATCCAAATAATCACATGTCCTCCGATCCCTTGTTCTCTTCCAACCAACCTTGAAGAATCGAATCCATGCGTTTGGCCATTTTCTTTATCATTTCGACGTTTCCATCAAATCCTAGCCGTCAGATGGGAGGAAAATAATCGCTCAATAAGCCTCTACCTATATCTTTCTAATATGCTAAACTTTAAAGGGTGTCTATATAGATACCTAAAAAAGATCTTAATACGTCCATAAACATTTTGAATGTTTAATAAGTATCTATCATTAATTCAAAATTAATATTATCAAATTCTTATATCTGTCCAGAATAAGTCAGGTTAACTAATCTCTAAATAATATATGCCTACGTGACATGTGTAAACAATGAAGATTTTAATTTAAAGACAAAATAGATATACCAATGTTGCAGCTTTAATAATAGTCTCGCCAATATTATTTAAATTTAAAGACAAACGAGAACGGATCGAGAGCGAGATTAAGAAGAGAGAGAAAGTGTGTGGCAAGGGGTGGCGGCCGCAGGAGATGGAGACGAGAGATTTGAGATATTTTAAGGATTTTAGATTAAAGAGGAGAATATTGGAGGGGAGATCACGAACAGCGAGAAGGGAGAATGGCCGATCATTTACCAATGGGCTGACATCAACTATTAGAAAAGATAATATTACCCCTTGTTAAAAGGCTATTCAACCTAAAATCCCACAAATTTCTGTTCTTTGAAGAACGCTTTTATTTCAATTTTTTAAATCGTCTCACTCATTTCTCTACCCCTCTCCATATATCATGTGTAGTTTTCTTTCGTTCACCCTTTTAATTAGGAACAACCTTCCTTAAAAAAAAAAAACCAAACTACAAAATACTTTTTTATTACATATTTTTCACCAGGTAATACGACATCAATAACATTCCTAATAAGGTTTTTTTTAGTAAAACATGTGAAGGTAGGGGATCGAACTCACAACCTCTCGGTTGGACATATATGCCAATTACTGCTGAGTTATATTCGCTTTGACAACATTTCTTATAAATTAAATGTTTGAATTCCTATTGTGATAATATTAAATATTTCTACCATCTTACCGGTACATAATAAATCTTTCTATATGGAAATAACTATATTAGAGTATGAAGGTGAGAAAGCAACCGTGGGGTGACTACAACATTGAGAGGCAAAAATTTTTCGTTTGCCATTCCAAAAACCTCCGACATATCAATCGTGTTGCTCGTCACGTTTTTCACATCAAACGACTGTAAAAACCCAGCTAGAGTAAAGTGCACCATTTGAAGGCCAAACGCGACTCCAGGACACCCTCTTCGTCCGCTCCCAAAGGGAATCAACTCGAAATCATTCCCTTTCACATCCACTTCCTTGTGGGTTGTTAGAAACCGCTCTGGCTTGAATTTAAGCGGATCAGGCCACACTCGTGGGTCAACTTGGATCTTCCAGATGTTTGGGATCAGTTGAGTACCTTTAGGAACAAAATAGCCACCCACAACACAATCCTTATAAAATTCGCGAGGACCCAATAGAGGCCCTGCCGGGTATAGCCGCATCGTTTCTTTAACTATAGCCTGTAAATAACTGAGCTTGGATATGTCGGACTCGTTCACTCGTCTATCTCTTCCCACCACTGCATCCAGCTCTTGATATGCCTTTTCTAGGGCATGCGGGTTGTTCAGTAGTAATGACATCGCCCATGTTAGAGTTACTGTGCTGCTTTCAGTTCCACCTGCAATCATATTCTGCACATATATTCACATGAGTCTTTGGTTGAGTACTAGAAAAGGTAACATAATTAAAGAACAGGGGTAGTACCAAAGTTGTGGCTTTGGTAATGATATCGCCATTGTACTGACTTGGAAGCTGGTTGGCATCATATAAGGAAAGGAGAGAAACCATAAAGTCTCCATTTTTTTTAGCCAAACCATAAGCTCTGTTCTTCTTGTGGTCCTGCAGCCATCCTTCAAGAATGGCATCAATTCGTTTGGCTATTTTCTCCATGGCCTTCACTTGTCCGTCAAATCCCAACTGTGCAACCACAGGAATGAAGTCCCTCAATATTCCTTGGCCCATCAAACGGAACGACTCCCTAATCGCCATCTGCAACTCTTTTGCCTCTGCTTCTCCTCCCAACGCATTCGGGCCGACGCATCGTTTTCCGATAATGATCTTCAGAAGCATATTCATAACCACATCCCCGAACCAACCCTTCAACTCTACCGGTATCTGGCCCGATTCGTTCCTTTGGACGACCCATTTCGCGTGCAGCTCTGTCAACGACATGTCGACCTCACCAAACATGATGTTCTTAACCTGTGTTAAGAATATAGTACCATAATAATAACAACAACAACAACTCAATTTGATTGTTGAAAAGGTGACCGTTAATTATTTTTGTAAAAATTTTATGTTTTGTATTTCGAACATTTATTTTCTATTTAATTTTATCGTAGACTTAAGTTATCTGGTTAATTGTGAAAAGATAAAGAGATTAATGAATGTTGATAATATATAAACTATCTCTCATGGTTAATTAGTTCAATAGTAGGTTCACCTCTTGAACGCGTGGGTTGGAGAGGAGCTCGAGATGAGTTATTTTACGCATCTCCCGCCAGTAAGGGCCGTAGGAAGCCAACCCAAACATGGCGAAGTCGTAGGAGAAATGCTTGGAGACCGACAGCTCTGGGCGGGACGCCGCGGCGGCATCGTTAATGCACATGCTTTCTTTGGCCATCTCCCAGTTGCTCACCACGAGCGCGGACCGGGAGCCGAGCTGTAAGCGGAAGATTGGCCCATATTTGTCGGCCATGGCTCCAAGAGTGTGGTGGGGGAGCTTCGCATTGTGGAGGAGGTGGAGGTGGCCGATTACGGGCCACGCACCCGGCGGCGAAGGGGCCAGCTTCCGCTGATCCTGCCGCTTTCGACATAAATAATAATAACAGACAATGAAGATCAGGAAAATTGCTGCTATGCAAATTGGGCCATAACAACTACAAGAGGCGAATTTGAAGGGGTTCATATTCATATATTATCTGCTTGGCAGATTGGAGAATTGATTAACTGTTGGGAAAGATAATAGACTGGTAGTTGTTGTTTTTGGATTCCCATTCGTGATTTTATAATGCCATGCCACTAAAAGCCAAACAGTTCTAATTAATATCCACCGCACAAAATTAAGCAAAAGGACAGTAGTTTGACAAGGCTCCAGTCTCCCACGATAAACACGCACTATGGGGATGAGTTCAGAAGTGACGTCTTATAAGCAAATGCATGCCTCCTACTCGCGACCACAAAAGATTGACAACTCATGATTTTTTAAAATAAAAATCTTTTATCTTTCTATTTCCCTATTTTAATTATCAAACATTTAAATAAATACTCGACCCTCCACTAATAGCTAGTAGAAATGAATCTTATCCTCGTCACAATTAAATATCTAATAATTAAAATAGATAAATTAAAAAATTAAAAATGATGAGTTGTTTATTTAATAGTAGTAAAAGTACGAGTCTTCCTTATTAATTAATACAGAGTCAAGTATTTTCCTAGGTAGTATTTTCATGGTAGTGATCCTCACCACCATTTTATAAAATTTAATGTTGTAATGTTTGCACTCAGATTGATATTGATAAGGAGTCAAGTGCTTTTCATTTTATGATAGCTAAGCATAAATGGTAAGAAAAGGGAAACAAATCTTCCTCACACCTCATTATGGTTTGTAAAATGACTGAAATGTTTTATTTCTTATTAGGGGAAAAATAGTGGACGAAGAGCGAAGGATCCGTTGAGACTTTCTCTTGTCTCGGTAAGGAACTGTACGATCTTAAGTTGAAAAATCACCTATGAAAATGGCTACCACCCACTTTGATCCAACTAATTTCTCTAATATTTTTCAAATCTATACGGCCTGCAGTAATTACGCATTAATATTAGAGCTAGTTAAATATTAGTTAGGTTAATTATATTGACTAGTTAGTCACTTAGTCCCAACTTCCTCTTGTGTGTACATAGACTTTATATATTCTCTCCTTTGTGATTAAATAAAGTTGGGCTATTTATTTACCTCTTCTGAACTTAATAATTAACAGTTCATGAAAATAAAGTTAAATTGGTTTTTGTTATTTTTTTAAAATGAGTGTTTTTTTTTATAATTAATTCACTTCAGGCTTAATTCCTCTAAATATCTAACTTTTTTTTTTTGGTTGCAGAGGCAAACATTCTGTTTCTCTTCTTAACCAAACTCGAGCAAAAGAAATCACTTTTTTTATTTACACTTCTCTCTTTAACATCTCCTTTAATTGACTTTTCTTTTTCTTTCCTCCTTCAGTATATATAATAATAGGTGGTTATGATTTAGTTTGCTGCACTTTGATCTAATTTTGTTGTTAATTATAGTGTTTAGAAGTAGATTGTATATTAATTAAATTTACACAGCTGCAACCAAACTTGAACATAATTCAAGATTTAACACCTATATTAGATTAAAAAATCATTTCCATGCTATATTAAAAATATTTTGTACTAAAAAATAAAATATTTACACAATTATCTGATGTGACTCGATGTAAGTCTCACCTTTCTATTAAATAATGAGTGTATTGGCTGAATTATTGTAGTATAATAAAAGATCTTGGGAAAAAAAATTAAAATCCTGACATTTCTAAAATGTGTTGAGATGTCACATCAGCACCACAAATTTTTGTTCTGTAAGAATTCTTTTATTTCAATTTTTTAAATTGTCTCACTCATTTATCCACACATTTTCTCTGGATCCTCCCTCTCCACGTGGCACATATCATGTGTACCTTTTCTTCGTTCACCTTTTTAATTACGAACAACTTTATTACCAATCTCTCTTATAAACACTTTCCATATCGCTTAATTTTATGTCTTATTTTAATAATTTAGTTATTTAAATTTTGTGATTTATCAAATTTTGAAAAGAATATATTAATCACTAAAAAACACTCTTTAGATATTAAACCAAACTACAAAATAATTTGTTAATACATAATTTTCACTAGTAATAATTTTTGTGTCAACCAATAACATTCCTGATAAATTGACAGGTATGATTCTATTTATCTTCTTCATGACAGGTATTACTCAAGTCAACGTGGAAGTAGCTAATTGAAGCCAGGTAGATGAGAAGGTAAACGTGAGGTGACCAATACATTTAGAGGAATCACTTTCTCATTTGCCATTCCAAAATTCTCCGATATATCAATCAGGTTAGCAGACGAGTTTTTCACATCAAATGACTGCAAAAATCCAGCCAAAGTGAAGTGCACCATTTGAAGCCCAAACGCAACTCCAGGACACCCTCTTTCGTTCGCTATCAAACGGAATCAACTCAAAATGATTCCCCTTTGCATCCACATCCTTGTGTGTCGTCAGAAACCGCTCCAGCTTGAACTCAAATGGGTTCGGCCACACTCGTGGGTCAGTTTGAATCTTCCAAATATTTGGGATCAGCTGAGTATCCTTAGGAACAAAGTAGCCAGCAACCACACAATCCGTAGAGAACTCGCGAGGTCCCAACAAAGGACCCGCAGGATACATTCGCATCACCTCTTTAACTACAGCTTGTAAATAATGTAGCTTGCTAATGTTAGACTCGTTCACTCGCCTATCTCGCCCAACCACCGCATCGAGCTCTTGTTGTGCCATTTACAAGGTATGTGGATTGTTTAGCAACAATGCCATCGTCCACGTTAGAGTCACCGTGGTGCTTTCAGTTCCACCTACAATCATATTCTGCAGATCCTACATTGAAAATATAAAGAACGTACATAACAAGAGTTTATAATATAAGTAAGTTACTCCTCTCGTCAAGTAATTTTTTAATTTTTCGATTAATTATCAAATGATTGGGAACAACTTTGTTACCAATTCTGTATGTAGCTTATTTAATTTTTTTCTCTTATTTTAATAATTTAGTTATTTTTCATTTATGTGATTTATCAAGTTTAGAAAAGTAAATATATTAATCACTAAAAAACACTCCTTGAGATATTAAACCAAACTACAAAATACTTTTTTATTATATATTTTTCACCAAAGTAGTAATTTTGATATAACACATCAATAACATTCCTAAGATAATATTAAATATTTCTACCATCTTGGCCATACATAATAAATCTTTCTATATCGAAATAACTATATTAGGGTATGAAGGGGAGAAGGCAACCGTGGGGTGACCATAACATTGAGAGGCAAAATTTTCTCGTTTGCCATTCCAAAAGCCTCCGACATATCAATCGTGTTGCCCGTTAGGTTTTTCACATCAAAAAACTGTAAAAACCCAGCCAAAGCAAAGTGCACCATTTGAAGGCCAAATGCGACTCCAGGACACCCTCTCTGTCCGCTCCCAAACGGAATCAACTCGAAATCATTTCCTTTCACATCCACATCCTTGTGGGTCGTTAGAAACCGCTCCGGCTTGAATTTAAGCGGATCGGGCCACACTCGTGGGTCTGTTTGGATCTTCCATATGTTTGGAATCAGCTGAGTACCTTTGGGAACAAAATAGCCACCCACGACACAATCCTTATAGAATTCACGGGGACCCAATAGAGGCCCTGCTGGGTATAGTCGCATCGTTTCCTTAATTATAGCCTGTAGGTAATTGAGCTTGAATATGTCGGACTCGTTCACTCGCCTATCTCTTCCCACCACCGCATCCAGCTCTTGATATGCCTTTTCCAGGGCATGCGGATTGTTCAACAGTAATGACATCACCCATGTTAGAGTCATTGCGCTGCTTTCAATTCCACCAGCAATCACATTATGCACATATATACACATAATTAGTATTTGGTTGAGTACTACAAAAGGTAATATAATAATTAAAGAAAAGGGGTAATACCAAAGTTGTGGCTTTGGTAATGATATCGCCATTGTACTGACTTGGAAGCTCGTTGCCATCATATAAGGAGAGGAGAGAATCCATAAAGCGACCATTTTTTTGAGCCAAACCAGAAGCTCTGCTTTTCTTGTGGTCCTGCAGCCATCCTTCAAGAATGGCATCAATTCTTTTGGCTATTTTCTCCATGGCCTTCACTTGTCCGTCAAATCCCAACTGTGCAACCACAGGAATGAAGTCCCTCAATATTCCTTGGCCCATCAAACGGAACGACTCCCTAATCGCCACCTGCAACTCTTTTGCCTCTGCTTCTCCTCCCAACGCATTCGGGCCAACACATCGTTTTCCGTTAATGATCTTCAGAAGCATATTCACAACCACATCCCCGAACCAACCCTTCAACTCCACCGGTATCTGGCCCGATTCGTTCCTTTGGGCGGCCCATCTCGCGTGCAGCTCTGTCAACGACACGTCGACTTCACCAAACATGATGTTCTTAACCTGTGTTAAGAAATAGTACCATAATAATAATAACAATAACTCGCTTGATTGTTGAAAAGTTGACCGTTGATTTTTTTTTTTTTAAATTTTATGTTTTGTATTTCTGTCAACAAATTAGTTGAGAACTCGTTATTTTCTATTTAATTTTAGTGTAGACTTCAAAGTGAAGAGATAAGAGATCTGCTATTTCTCTCGTCATCAATTAATCTAATATAAGAGGTTCACCTCTTGGACACGTGGGTTCGAGAGGAGCTCGAGGTGAGTTATTTTACGCATTTCCCGCCAGTAAGGGCCGTAGGAAGCCAACCCAAACATGTCGAAGTCGTAGGAGAAATGCTTGGAGACTGACAGTTCCGGGCGGGATGCAGCAGCGGCGTCGTTAATGCACATGCTTTCTTTGGCCATCTCCCAGTTTCTTTGGCCATATTAATTTAATACTTTGTTTGCACTCTTTACAAACCCAACACTTATTACTCCTTCTGAATTTAATAATTAACAAATTTAATTAATTGGTGCAATTATTAATTTAGGGTTTCAGTGGTTTCCATGGTGGTAAAGTTAAACTAGTGTTTGTTCTTTTTTTTTTTAAATGAGTGTGTTCTCTTATAATTAATTCACTTCAGGTTTAATTCCTCTAAATATCTAACTTTTTTTTTGGTTGCAGAGGCAAACATTCTGTTTCTCTTCCTAACCAAACTTAAGCAAAAGAAATCACTTTTTTAATTTGCACTTCTCTCTTTAACATCTCCTTTAATTAACATTTTTTTTCTTCTTCCTCTGGAATCTAATATAATAGGTGGTTATACAATATTATATTTAACTTGCTATACTTTTATCTAATTGTGTTGTTAATAATTATAGTTTAATTAGAAGTTTTGTATATTAATTAAGTTTACACAACTGCCCATTTAAACATAGTTCAAGATTAAAACATTTATACTGGATTAAAAAGTCGTTAGTTCGAATCTCCAGAACTCTATATGTTATATTAAAAATACTCAAACTCTCTATGTTGTACTAAAAAAACAAAAAGTTTACCCAATATTATATGATGTGGCCCGAAATAAAAGTCTCACCTTTCTATTAAATAATGAGAGTGTACTATTGGCTGAGTTATTGTAGTATAATAAAAGATCTTAGCAAAAAAAATTCAAATCCTCACATTTCTAAAATTTGTTGGAATGTCCTGATCACATCAGCACCACAATTTGTTCTTTTAAGAATTCTTTTATTTCAATTTTTAAAATCGTCTCACTCATTTCTCTACACATATTTTCTCTGGATCCTCCATCTCCATATATCATGTGTACTTTTCTTTCGTTCACCTTTTTAATGAGGAACAACTTTGTTACCGATCTCTGTATGTAGCTTATTTAATTTTATGTCTTATTTTAATAATTTAGTTATTTTCACTTTTGTGATTTATCAATTTTAGAAAAGTAAATATATTAATCACTAAAAAAACACTCTTTGATATATTAAACCAAACTACAAAATACTTTTTTATTACGTATTTTTCACCAAAGTAGTAATTTTGATATAACACATCAATAACATTCCTGATAAGTTGAAGGTTTGAATCCCTACCGTACAGGTACGATTCTATTAATATTCTACATGACGGTGATTAGGGCCAACAAAAACATATATTTATTATACATATAAGAAAAGGAAATGACACCAAACAAATTCACCACAAATATACCCAAGTCAACATGGAAGTAGTTAATTGAAGCCATGTAGATGAGAAGGTAACCGTGAAGTGACCAATACATTTAGAGGAACCACTTTCTCATTTGCCATTCCAAAATTCTCCGACATATCAATCAGGTCAGCAGACGAGCTTTTCACATCAAATGACTGCAAAAATCCAGCCAAAGTGAAGTGCACCATTTGAAGCCCAAAGGCAACTCCAGGACACCCTCTTCGTCCGCTACCAAATGGAATCAACTCAAAATGATTCCCCTTTGCATCCACATCCTTGTGTGTCGTCAGAAACCGCTCCGGCTTGAACTCAAATGGGTTCGGCCACACTCGTGGGTCAGTTTGAATCTTCCAAATATTTGGGATCAGCTGAGTACCCCTAGGAACAAAGTAGCCAGCAACCACACAGTCACTAGAGAACTCGCGAGGTCCCAACAAAGGACCCGCAGGATACATTCGCATCGCCTCTTTAACTACAGCTTGTAAATAATGTAACTTGCTAATGTCAGACTCGTTCACTCGCCTATCTCGCCCAACCACCGCATCGAGCTCTTGTTGTGCCATTTCCAAGGTATGTGGATTGTTTAGCAACAACGTCATCGTCCACGTTAAAGTCACCGTGGTGCTTTCAGTTCCACCCGCAATCATATTCTGCAGATCACACGTTGAAAATATAAAGAACGTACATAACAAGAATTTATAATATATGTGAGCTACTCCTCGTCAATTAATTTTTTAATTTTTCGGTTAATTATCAAATGATTGAGGAGTACCAAAGTTGTGGCTTTGATAATGGTGTCAGCATCATAGTAACCCTGAATCCCCTTGCCATCGAGTAACGAAATGAGAGAGTCCATAAAATCTCCATCTTGGTTTTGACCCAAACCATAATCTCGCTTCCGCTTGTGCTCTTCCAGCCATTCACTCATAATCACGTCGAATCGTTTCGCTATACTCTCCATCACCTTCACCTGCCCATCGAATCCCAACCGTCCGATCAGAGGAATATAGTCCGTCAGCAGCCCCTGGCCCATCAAATGGAACGAGTCCCTAATCGCCATCTGCAAGTCCTTGGCTCCCTTCTCACCCCCCTCGGCGTTCGGGCCTACACATCGTTTTCCAATGATGATCTTAAGCAGCATGTTCACAATCACATCCCCAAACCACCGCTTCATCTCCACGGGAATCTGGGCCGATCCCGCGTGCAGCTCCGCCAACGACATGTCGATCTGAGCAAACATGAGGTTCTTGACCTGGTCAACGCGTGAGTTGGAGAGGAGCTCCAAGTGGGTAATCTTACGCATCTCCCGCCAGTAAGGGCTGTAGGGAGCCAGGCCGAAGGCGGCGTAGTCGTAGGAGAAATGTTTGGTGCCGGAGATGCCCGGGCGGGAGACGGCGGCGGCGTCGTTGATGCACATGCTTTCTTTGGCCATCTCCCAGTTGCTGACCACAAGAGCCGAGCGGCAGCCGAGCTGTAGGCGGAAGATCGGACCATATTTGTCGGCCATGGCGCCAAGAGTGTGGTGGGGGAGCTTCGCATTGTGGAGGAGGTGGAGGTGGCCGATTATGGGCCACGCCCCGGGCGGCGACGGGGCCTGCTTCCGCTCCTGCCACTTTCGACGTAAATAATAATAACAGAACACAAAAATTCCGACGAGGGTAGCGACGGATGTTGGGTTAAAGGGAGGAAATTGAGACTCCATTATTTGTGGTGGTCGGAAATTGTTGGCTGTGGGGCGGATGCGTTTGCCGTAATTGGATTCCCCTTTAAGCTTTTTACATAGTGAATAGTATTTAGGTACACCGAGGGATTTTTCTTTTCTAAAATAATTTAAGTACGCAATCATTTTGATTTGAAACTTGTGTCCAAGTTAAAATTGCGTGTATCTATATCAGAATAGATAGTATACATTGTAAATTTTAATTGTTAACTCGTAGTTCGTCAAGAATAGTAAAGCGGTAATTAGTATATATATTCATCTAAGAGTTTATAGATACTATGTCCTCAATACCTAATAAGTATGACTCTATAAAAAAAATTAATAGATAATATCCGGTGAAAACCAAAATTTGTCTTCATCACTATTTGAAAGGTGACAAATCATTATTTAAACAAAATATATCTCTATTTTATGCTTCTTTTTTTAGTTATCAAATATTCAATTTTAGTGAGTAAAAAATTGATTATCAGCCAAATATTATCCAAAATTAATATCCACCGAAAAACAAGGTACGATTGTTGGCCTGACTCGTAAGTGGATGTGAACGCTGAAACAAATAATAAATTTCATTCGCGTGTTTCATGAATTGGAAAATAATGTATTTGTATTACTCATGGAAAAGAGCTCCATTTCGTCCCTTACAAAAACTTTCTAATTTATTTTCTCACCAATATCACTCTCTTATGGTTGTGTTCCTCACTAATATTTTCAAGTTGGCTTGATTAGAATAAAGGCTCAAATAAGAGCAAATACAGCATTTTTTTTCTAATTACAATAAATAAAAAAATATTTTTGTAAAAATATTAAACTAATTTTAAAATATTATTAGTAGAAACACCTAGGTGTCTTTGAGAATGGTTTTAGTAAATGAGATTTAATGATAATTGATTCTGTGGAAGTGGTTTTTATTAAATTATTTTAATATTTGGTTACACATTTTTTCAAGTGATCTGTATATAATTAAAAATGATTTTGAATGATTAATATTTAAACTTTAATAAGAGAATTTGACAAATTTTTAAAGAAAGAAAAGTTAGAGAGAAACAAAAATTTTAGACAGACAAATTTTAGAGAGTGGGAGATAGAAGTTTTAGATAGAGAAATAAACTCTAAAAAGAGATGGAAATTATTATAAAAAAAATAGAGAGAATAGAAAGACAATTTTAAAAATTAAAATAATAACCATTTTAAAAATTAATTAATTAATTATATATATATATATATATATATATATATTAGTCAAAAATCACTTGGAGAATCGCTATTTTAAAGTCGGAATGATTTTGATATGAGTAAAAGTGATTCTAACCATACCAAAATTACTCCAAATATGTCATTAGATGATTATTAAAAAGGATTTCAGAGCAAATTGACTACAAATCGTACTAAGAAAAATAATATAACTGAAACTGGTATAATAATTTTTTATATAGCTCGTTTTAATCTTTCAAGCTTGGATTTTTTTCTTTTAATATTGTTTTTTTATCAAATTTATTCCAAAAATATATTATCTACCAAATTATTTTCAAAATACGACCATAAAAATTCACGTCTAATTGATCATTGGTCGTCTCCTAGGAACGATCATACTTTGATTTAAAAAAATAAAAAAAAGCAAGCGTGACGTCTACCGAGTGTCAAGTCTAAAGATGCTGCTAACTATTCATAGGTCTCTTTGACAACCCACTATTTTTCAAGCATCATTTTCTGAAAATAGTTTGGTAGATGGTATATTTTAGAATAAGTTTAATAAAAAATAATATTAAAAAAAATGGTTTGTTTTGTACTCAACATTTTTATTATTTGTGAATCAACGACAAATCTAACCTTTTCTTTTTTATGTAATATTACAAAAATATAACAACTGAAAACTAATTTTATATTTTTGGTTTACAATTTATAGATAAAATGACGTAAGTCAAGTGGTTTATCGGAAAATGACGCATGGAAGATGACTTTCGTAAAGGAGATTTTAAGTGAAAAAGCTAAAAACACGATGGTTTCGAAATTTAACTGTTCAATTGAACCATCGCGGGCTCATATTCTCCTGCTGATATATAATTTAACTTTTCAAAACCTAAAAGCACGCTGGTTTCCAAACTAAACTGCATTTTCACACATAAAACGATGTTGCCTCATACAGCCATTGCCGCCTGAAGGCTTTGTGTGGCGACTAGGTATGACAACGGGGTCGGGGCGGGGACAGGGTGATGGTGGGGAGACCTCCCCCATCCCCCGGGAACCCCAGTTTAACCCCGTCCCCGGTCAAATTGGGGATTTCCCGATCTGATCGGATCGGTTACCTATGAAGATTGGATCCCGCAGGTATTTTTGTCATCTCCAATGGCGACGCCACGTTTATATTTCTCTTCTCCACCTAATATGTAATTTGACTTTTTAAAATTACATACAAATTTTTAAATACAAAAAACTTTCCCTTCTAAATTAGTTGGTAGGGAATACAACTAGAGATTATGGGTATATAGTTATGTGCAACAAATGTAAGACTTTTTGAGTGAAATTAAAAGCAAAGTCGTAAGGGTTATGATAAGACTGATAATTTCATATCAAGATACTTTGAGTACCGTTATCCTTAACATTAGTGAATGTTGCAATAACGTAGAATCTATTAATTTAACAATGACTTCAAAATTACAAAGAAGGTAAATTACAACTAAAAACATATGTAAAAGAAGAGTTTGCAACTAGTTTGATTTGCTTTGGTTGTTTAGTGTTAAATAGCATATGGATCGATTTCAATTATATAAAAGGAAAATAAATGAGTTTTTAAATTTTAATAAAAGAAATAAAACAAATCCGAGGTTTTGAAATGCCTTTCAAAAAGTTTAATAACATTACCTGTCCCTTGAGTTTTGAAAAAAAAAAAAATTAATGTGATTGTTAATCTTTTCGTTAAACATATACCTATGATTAAGTTAATTTAATTCTGCCAAAACGAGCATAGCTCAACGGTAATTGGTATATATCTCCAATGAGTTCGAATTTCCTTCCCTATATATTTTACTAAAAAAAATTAATTTAAGTCTCATTTAGTACTTAAAAGATATATATATGTATATCTCTTAAAATGTTCTAATCATATTTATGACGTAACCTTTTTTGAAAAATTTAAATAAAAGATGTTTAAATTTATATCTCTCTCTTTTGTTCAATGAATATAATATATATATATAGATATATCTATCACCGTCCCATTAAATAAAAATTTCAGGTTCAGCCCTTCACATTATTCAAATGTGATGATCGTGATTGAAGATCTCTGTTTCTTCATGATTTGACACTGATTTTTTAAACAAAAAAAGTTTCTTTTTAATATATTTGAGAAATACTAATTAGGTAGAGCGGAAGTGGTTTATGAAAAGACAATTTATGACATGTTTCATCTGACTTTCTAATTTTTAAAAAGTATTTTTTACTAATACATGTGTTTTTGGTGTTGTAATCTATTCTTTAAATATTTCGTAACCAAAATTTGATTTTTCTTTTATTAAGAAATCTCAAAAATATTGTTTATATTTTATAAAGTTGACTATGATTTCAAAATATTTCCAAAAAGTAAAATAAAATTTTAAAAAAACAAATAAAGAAATTGGACCAATATTTTCAAAATATTCCTAAACCTGTCCACACTCCTCTTTTTCTCTTTTTTGAAGCAACAACTATAATAACAATAGAATGTACCAAAATAATAATAATAATAATAATAATAATAATAATAATAATAATAATAATAAATTAGGTAAAAGGATTAGTTAATTAGGTAAAGAAAAAAGTTCTAGGTGAAATTACGTCTTTTAACTCAAGAAAATAGTTACTAACATCTTAATCAATTAAATTAGGTTAAGGTTAATTTTATGCATAATGAAGAAAATTAAATTTAGAATTATCATTTAATTGTAAGGGACAAAATTAGGTTTTATATATTATATAGTTTTAAGGGATTTTGTGGAAAAATCTAATCTAATGTGTGGTGAGCCGTACTTCTAAAGATAAGCCAACGACCACCCCACAATATTGAATAATAAGAATAATAATATTAATAATAATAATTAGGTAAAAGGATTAGTTAATAAGGTAAAAAAAAAAGTCATGTTGTATTACAAAGGTGAAATTACGTCTTTTAACTTATGAAAATAGTTACTAATATCTTGATCAATTAAGTTATATTAAGGTTAGTTTTATGGATAACAAAGAAAATTATCTTCAGAACTATTATTTAAATTGTGAAATGGACAAAATTAGGTTTGACAAGATATATATTATATAGTTCGTTTAGTTCAGAAATTTTGTGGAAAAACCTAATCTAATGTGTGGTGACCCGTATATTTAAAGTCAAGCTAACGACCACCACACAACATTGAATAATAATAATAATAATAATAAATAATATTGAAATTTAGTGGAGATGAGTTACAAAACTTCGAATGGCAGTGAATCATCCACGTATAAGGAATTACTTGCAAGATCAAACTCAATATCAACGTAGTATTCACCCGAACATCCTCTCTAATGCCTATCGTCTTCAAAGACGTATCCCCGATATCTAGGCCGTAGTATCGACCAGAGAGTTGCCCGACGATCCTCGAAGATCGCCGTGCCATGAAATAATTCTTCCGCTGCCAGTCCACGACCGTCTCTCTCTGAAGTTTCCGACACGGGCGGCTATGCCTGTAATCTGCATGATGGCTATTCGGGCTTCTGTCCCTCGGGCCCAATATTGATTGGACAGAGCCTAGGGCCCACCTGGCTTGAGCCCACATGGGAGGCAGAATTATACCCATAAAAAATTTCACCACAAAATTGGAGAATGATTAAACTGTCATTTTAGTATTTATTTATAATTTTTTCATTACGATACGTGGGAAATCGAACTCACCAATCAGACGATATATGTCAATTATCGTTAAGTTATACCTGTTTTGTCGTCCTTATTTAGATTCTCTAGAAAAGAATTAAAAAGAAAAATAGTGAATTTAGACTTTATATTTTTAGTATTTAGTCTTTGGACTTTATATTTTAAAAAGTAATATTTTGACTCTTAAAATCTAAAAATAAAAATAATCTTCACCATCGGGTTCTTTTAAAATAAAAAATAATAATAATGAAATCCATAGTAGAAAGAAAGTTAGTTGTAATCTTTTTAATTCATATGACATAATCACACCTTTTTCTTTTTAAATAATCTTTGTTACACCCACAAATAAAATCAAGAAAATTATTATTTTTTCTTTAAATTTTTAACTTCCTAAATTTTGATAAAAAATACTTAGGTTTTGAAAACTCACCACTCTTTTAAGTATTTGACGATTTAAAAAAATGTAAAAATAGATTTTTTTCCCTTTTGAATTGTTAATTTTTTAAGGAAAATACTTAGCTTAGTGAGGAATCTTGCCCACACCAACATTTAATATTTGACAACTCATCATTTTTTAAAAACATTTTTTGTTTTTGCATTTATCTCTCTTAGTTGTCAAATATTAAAGGGTGGTGTGGACAAGATTTTTGGAGTCAAATATTTTTCATTTTTTAATGCAACCTAAAGATAAGTTTATACCATTTAAAACCTAAATATTTTCCATTTCACACCCTTCTTGCATCGCAACACATTAAAGCATTTTACACGTTTACAAGTAAAAGAAATATAAAAAGTTTCAAACTAATTATTCACATTTTGGATCAACATTATATTCTTTACAGATGTGACAAAAATAATTAAATTGCCTTTGTCGACATGTCGATTTGGAAGTTTTGATCCATCTATATTTCTTTAGAAATTTGAATATTTTACGACCACTACATATTCTGAATATTTTACAACCACTACATATTCAGGTAGGGATAAGATCATAAATACTGGATCAAGAGAAAGGATGTGGTTGGGAAAATGTCATTTCCATTAATTCCTCACTTCTTTATCCCTTCTTATTATTATTATTATTATTATTATTATTATTGTGTGTATTATAAAAAAAATTATCAATTTTAACTCTTAAACTTAGGAAATGAATCAATTTTCATCGTCAACTCTCAATTTTATCAAATTCTACCTTAAACTTGGATAAGTAACGACTTAATTAGATAAATTTTAGCAATACGTTAATCTTTAAACTCAAAAAAGTATTACAACTTTTACACTCTAATAGGTTTTCAGACTCATAGAAACATACACAAGAGTTAGGTTTTTTCCTTTTGTTGAAACTCGTAATTTCAGCAGAATTATTTAATTGTCGATTTTGTATATTAATCAAATTTAACTTTGTATTTTCATTAATTAGTGAATTTTTAGAGTTTTTTGTTTCACATTTTTTTTAGTTAGTGGGTGAATTAGCGAAAATGGGATAGATGGTAAAAAATTTCTACACTTGTCTAAGTTTAGGATTTAATTAGATGAAATTAAAAGTTTAGGGGGAAAATAGATAGAATTGTGAGGGTTTTGAAATTAAAAAAATTATTTTTTTTCCAAAAATAATTAAATATTAACAAATATACATGTTAAATTAAAATTTTATCGAAAATTAACAATGCTGTTTGAAATTGGATTTCAAAACTTGCCACTCACTAGAACCGATCAACGAAAGAGAAAATAATAAAAATCATAATAATAACAGTACTAGTAATTTGACTGAATTTTCCTAATATTATACTACAAATAAAAATGATTAGATGACTTAAAATAAAGAGATATATAAATGTCTAACCAATAATTCTCTTTAAGTTAATCTGAAATATAGTTCGTCAAATATTAATTTTGTTCTGAAATAAATTGCAAACTAACATTAATCACAGCAATCCCAACCAATGTTCATGTCCTGTCTGTGTCCCATGGTCGGGTCATTTTCTAAGAGGCAGAAATTTCTGAACTTTGAAGAATACCAGAGACTGGCAGCTGGCAGCTGCTGCAACATTCACATTTCATATACACTTCTTCACCACAACTTCCTCGTTCTATTTGTAGAAAATATTTAGAAAAATGATCCAAATTTTGTCGCATTGTTTTTTCAAATAAGTTTCGTAGAGTTGATGTCACTTATATGAAAGGATGTGGCAACTTAATATGGTTTACCTAAATTAAGTGGTGTTTCATACCGGTGACGTGACATGTATGAAAGGATGTGTGGCAACTAATATGTAGTATATCTGAATTAAGTCTTAAAATAGTAAGAATGCAAATGATAAGGAAATTATCGTATTTAAATAAGAGATTAGTACAAAATTCCGGTAGATAATGGAAGAAGTGTAAACTTGAATCTATTAACAACAAAGGAAGAAGATTTTTAGGACAAAATCAAGTTAGGGTAAAATTTAGGAACATTTTTTACAATTTAGCTAAATTTTAAAATAATTATAAAATTAGTAATTTACAATTTTTAATTATTATTATTATTATTATTATTATTATTATTATTATTTTAGTTAAAAATGCTGAGCGATGTTTAGAAAGCACACTTGGGATTTTGTAAATACTTTAAAAGCGTATAACATAGTAAAGAAAACGAATAGTAAGGACACTTGGATGTTGGCACATTGACAAGGACCCTAGGTGTTAACATTCATAATCTAAAAAAGAAATGGATAGTAAACAATTATGATTTATAACATAGTAAAGAAAATGAATGCTCTAAAACATATATCTCCATTACATGTAAAATTATTTAGTCTATCTCAAAGTTGAGTTAGAGGGATTAGAGTTAAACTTAGTCATAATATCTTCTTTTAACACTTTTCCTCTTGCTATGATTAACCCAAAAACTTAATTGATGAATCGAGATAAATTTAATCATAGATATCTTAACAAATACAATCTCCAATTTGAATATAGTTAAGGTATTTTTACCACATCTAAAGATCACAGGTTTGAATTAACTTGCTCTCGTATTTGTGATACAGTATTACAAAACATATATGATTTCAAGTTCCAAAAACAATCTCCAACTTGATATAATTAATGTATTTCTATCCAAACTAAAGATTATATATTATTTGAATTTACTCTCGCAGTTGTGATGGAATATGTAAAATCTTAATCAAGAAAATGGGTGGCTTTAGTTAAAATAAAAATAAAATAGGCAGCAAAATCTTGAACCCAAGTCAGATTTTACCGGAAAAAAAGCCCAACAGAAAAGGGCTCTTTTTGCTTATCAAATGGGCCGAATCTATAGTGGACTTGAAACATACCAAAATATGAAATCGTAATTCACATCATGAGTTTGTGCGTTTATTTCACACCAACTACATGAATTCAAACAGGTGTACATGAACAAAAACTTGTGATTATTTTAAAATTTAATAGAACTTGAGGCATCGAAATAACAAGTTCCAGTGTGTTGGAATCATGCATAAGCACTAGCTAGGAGGCGCGGCTTGATGAGAACTTGAAGAGGGTTGACTCTATGCATGGTGATTCCAAAATCAGCCGTCATATCAACTGGTTCATCAAATCGAGTTTTAAGTTCCATCGAATGTATCAAACTCGCCAAAACCAACTGCGTCATTTGGATGCCAAACCCCAGCCCAGGACACACTCTCCTCCCACAACCAAATGGAGTGAATTCAAAGTTTTGGCCTTTCACATCCAGGTGTTTGTGGCTACTCAAAAACCTCTCCGGCTTGAATTTCAAAGGCTCTGCCCACACTCGAGGGTCCGTCTGTATCTTCCAAAGATTTGTGATGAGACGTGTACCGACGGCCACGTCATAGCCTCCAACCGTGCAATCCCGACTGAACTCGCGAATCCCTGATAATGGACCTGCTGGGTACAACCTTAATGTTTCTTTCACGACAGCTTGGAGATACTCCAGTTTGCTTATGTCTGATTCATCCAAAAGTCTTTTATTTCCAACATGGATGTCTAGCTCTTCTTGAGCCCTTTTTAGTGCCTCTCGGTTGTTCAACAATAATGAGATTGCCCATAATATAGTTTCTGTTGTAGTGTCGGTTCCTCCAGCAATAATGGTCTGCAGGAGAGATTAAACAACTCGAAATTTATGTTAACTTTTGTTTAATCACCTTTATTAAACCCAACAAATATGAAAGAAAGTGAGAATTATATATGTATGCATGTATGTATCTATTTATTTATATATATATATATATATATATATATATAATAGAGTACGTGTGTATAGGGTTTAAGTCCCCTTGTGATCGTCCCTACAAGATTATTTTTGGTTGATACCTCAACTTTCAAGTTTACCTTCTCAACTTTACAAAATAACCATTTAATTAGTTCTTATCAATGTAGTTAGTGCAAATCTAAATAATAATTCAAATAATTAAGACAGAAGACCTGAATATAACCTTTCTAGTAAGGTTGAGAGGTTCAAATATTGAATTTTAGAAAAGAAAAATGAAAAGGAAAAAAAGTATCTAAAAGCTGTATTGTCTATTAAATGCTAAAATAGACATATTGAAGCTACATAGGTGCATTAAGCTGATAAGGATTGGGTGAACTGTATTATGACAAATACCAAAATGGTCCAAGATGAGAGTGTTAAATTTTCCTACGTAAATACCCATTATTGTGGCCCCTGTTTTGAACAACAACAATGATTGGACAAAGGAAAAAGTTTCCGCATTTTAATTTCAAAGATGGGAACCAGAAATGTTAATCTCCTCGCCCACCTCAATAACAGACTAAAATGATTTTAGAAAACAATAATAATTATTATAATGAATTATCAATTTTTTTATGAGAATAAGATTTAACGGATGATAATTATTGTGGCAAGTAATTGTGTTTATACCATGCAAGTGGCTTTGTTGACAGTAGCAGCATCATATCCAGCAAGGTCAATCCCTTCAAGCGTGGAAAGCATGACATCCATGAAGTCCGGTCCACCGTCGGCGGCGGCGCCGGAGTCTGCCTTCCGGCGGTGCTCATCCAGCCACTCCTCCATAATAGAATCCAATTCTTTGGCAGTTTTCTTCATGGCCTTCTGATAGCCACCCAAATCCAGCCACCTCAGAAAAGGAAGCGCATCCCCCACCATAAACTGCCCCGCCAAATCAAAAAACTCCCTCATCGCTCTACGGCACCGTTTCATCTCCTTCTCCCCAACAAACCGCTTCCCACAAACCATCATCAAAATCACCTTCAAATCAACACTCCCAACCCAACCATCCAGGTCAACATTAACCGCCACGTCGTCATCATCTGAGGTTTCCCTTTTCTTTTCCCACAAATCGTAAAGCTCCCTCACAGATCTCTTCACCTCGGAATCTCTGATATCTCTCTGAAACTGCAACTCCAGCCGCCGGTTCGAGAGCATCTCCGAGGCTATGATTCTACGGATGCTTCGGTAGAAGGAATCGTAGGGCCTGAACCCGAACCCGGCGAAATTGTAGCCCAGCAATTTGCCGCCCACGGTTTTGGGGCGCGAGGAGACGATCGAGTCGTGGGTGGTGTAGCACTCTTTGGCCACTTCCCAGCTGCTGATGACGAGGGTTGGGTGGACGCCCACTTGGATTGTGAATATGGGTCCGTATTTGTCGGCCATGGCTCCTAATGTTTCGTGGGGGAGTTGTGGGCCGCTGAGGAGTGGCAGGTGGCCGATGATGGGCCATGCGCCGCCGGCTGCTGGTGGGGCTCGGCGTTTGGAGGCTTTGGAAAGCTTCTTCAGAACCAAATATGATATCAGAAGCAAGAGGAAGAGGGGAATTATGGAGTTGGTGTTGAGATATGGTGAGATGATTTCCATGGATGTTGCTGTTGAGGGAATTTTCATGTCGCTGATTTTACGACTGCTGGGACAATCGACCGATGGACACTACTTATTTATAAGGAAAAAACGGACAATTTTTATCCAAATAATTAATTCTGGGAAGGACATATTGCAAATTTTACTATTTGATAAGTTTTTAGGTGGAGAATTGTTTAAAAAAAAAATATATTCTCAATAAATTATAAAATATATATTTAGTAGTAATAGAGATAAGATTAAGAGGTGAGAGTTGGATTTTTTTCAGTAGAAATTTAAAAGTTTTGATAAAGTTATTTAATGATTAATTTTGTATATGGACGAAGCTTAATTTGGGTAGAATATGATATTTTTATTTAAATTAGTGAATTTTTTCAGAGATTTTTTTTATTTTTTACATTTTCTTAATTTAAGATGAGTGAGTAAACTATATCAAAACTATTAGTATTCATGATCAGCACGAAAAAGAGTAGTAATTCATGTTTATTAGTCCTTCTCTTTTCTAAGTGATAGCTATATCAAAATTTAAATATTGGGTGGAGGTAAGAATTTTCATACATTCTGATCTTCATTCACTAAAAGACAATATTGACTCTTATAGGAAAAAGACAAAACTGGGCCGACTGAATTTCAGTCTTGAAGAGAAAAAGAAGATGTTGTTTTATTTAAGTTTGTCTACCAGCGGACTAGCTAGGGACCAGTGTGATAATCTCATCTTCTCGTTTTTTCTTTCTATTTCTTCAATTTTTAATAAAGTAAAATAGAATGTACGACCTCAACGTTCCAAAATTTATGAACTATAAAATTATATTTTTATTTATATTTTAAGATAAAGTAGAGATGGGATCAAGAAATAGTTAAAAAACCTATTTTTATTATTTCTAAAATTTTTATACAATTTTAAAAATGCTTCTAGAAAAATGAAAAATAAGTAATTTTTATGTTGTTAAATACTTAAATTTTTTAATAAAAATTTAAAAGAAAAATAGGAAACAAAAAATGTCCTGACAATCCAATATTATAAATTTATACGGTGCATCTGGAAAATGGTGCAAAATTGGAACACGTTACCATAACTTTTCCAAATTTTATCGATACAATATGCTTTATTTCAAGTATTATATTGTGTTTTGGGTGGGATGGATCTGACAGTCGCAAACTCACTTTTGGAAGTAAGAAAATTTGAAATTTGTGTTTCTACTTTAACATCAATTGAGCTTTTGGAAGTACTAAAAGCAAGAGTGGTTGCCTAGGTAGCTTTCAAATTTACTAACTAATCACCAATACTTTGTTATCAATCAAAGATCAACTCTAAAGATATCGATAAAGATCAACGGTAAAGATATCAACTTTTTTTTATGAGATTGGATATATTCAAATCTCTCATCGCTGGATCTGTTATATTATATTATCTACCTACGCTATTACCAAGTGAAATATAAAAAAATTTGTATCGATGATAATCGGTAGAATGACCAAGTCACCTCCATTATTTACCCTTTGAAGAGGAGAAATTTTTTTTAATATATAGATTCATATTTTCAATGTTCGAATTCTTTGACCTGACCGAAAAGTCCCGGGTGTGATTTCTAAAGTAAGAAAGAGTAAAGTTTTTGTTGATATTATTTAAAGTTTTGTTTGACTAATTAGACAACCAGTGATAAAGTAATTAAAAGTAGGCATGGATGAGCAGGTTCAAGAGAAAAATTAGTCTTCTTTCCCAAGATATATCCTTGCCAAAGCAAAGCAACGAACAAGTAAGTATAAAAATAAGGATGGTTGAAAGTTCATGATGAAATTTATAAACATGATTATAGAAAATTAAAATTTTAAAATAATTATAGAAGTAGTTTTGATTTTATTATCATATGAGAATTAAGCAAATTTAAACATGTTTATTAATAATGCCATTGTTTAGCCTTTCACTCCATAAAAATCAATATTGAAATCTTCACTCATTATTATCATAACAAATTTACATTCTTTTTCTAATGTGGAATGTATATATATATATCCATTTATTATTATTTCTTTGGTTAATTCCTCTTGAGTTGGGCTACCTCTAATTATTAGGGAAACACACTCGTTCATTTGAGAGAAGGCATCAAAGTATTTTAGGAATATTTATTATGTATATAATCCAAACTCTTATCGGAACTATTCAACTTTACGAACTAGGTGAAATTGTTAGAACTTATCCTCCGTTTAGCGTCTAGAATTGATAAGAGAAATGATTTTAAATTTCAGGATTTTGAATAATGGAAATGATTTGTTTGGATGTTCACGAGAAATAAAAAGAAGGTATAACATTTTATTATTATACTCTTATAATTTAGGATAATATTATATTAATAATAATATAATATTTTAATATGAAATTATAATGTTAACCACGTATAAAAATGAAATCATTTAATCAAGTCAAGATATTAAATTAAACCTTGCTAATAAAATTAAAAAAGAAAAATTCGTAAACAGATATACTAAGGAAAAATTTTAAATGTATAAAAATTTGTATTTTGCTTCAACGATAATTCAAAAAATATTTGTAGAGGAGAGATGAGAAAAAAAGTAATTTAGTTGAACTGCTATTTGCTTAAGAGGCCATGTAGGGTAAATTTGGAATGAGATACTTTTTAATTTTAAATCTTGACAAATCCGAGCTATTTGAAATGAAAAATTTTGGGACTTAAAACGTGATTTCAAATCTATTGTGATTTAAAATTCATTCTTGTTCTTTCCAAACAGACACAGGAAATGATTTCAAAATCGATTTGGGAATACATGCAAATTCATAGTTTAGTTCCAAACAGAGCATTAGTGGTAACAATACACAATAGAGTTGGAATCAAGCAAAAGCACTAGGTAGGAGACGCGGTTTAAGGAGAAGTTGAAGAGGGTCGAGTCTACACAGGGTGAGTCCAAGCGTAGCAGCCATGATCTGAACAAACTATTCTAAGTTCGAAAGAATGAACCAAACTTGCCAACACCAATTGGGTCATTTGAATGCCGATTCCCAGTCCAGGACAGGATCTCCTTCCATAGCCAATCGGAGACAACTCGAAATTCTGGCCCTTCACATCTAACTCCTCTTGACTACTCAAAAATCTCTCTGGCTTGAACTCCAAAGGCTCCGACCACATCCGAGGATCTGTCTGTATCTTCCAAAGGTTTGTGATGAGGTGTGTGCCGGCGGCTACATCATAGCCTCCAACTGTGCAATCCTGACTAAATTCTCGCAGCCCTGATAGTGGTCCTGCTGGGTACAACCTTAATGTCTCTTCTACGACGGCTTTGAGATACACTTACTTGCTAATGTCTGATTCATCCACAAGTCTTTTGTTTCCAATTTGGATGTCTAGCTCCTCTTGAGTCCTTTCAAATGCCTCTCGATTGTTCAACAATAATGAGATTGCCCATATCAAAGTAACCGATACAGTATCCGTTCCACCAGAAATAATGGTCTGTCACACAGTTTATGCTTCGTTGACATCAATCATTAGAAGAAAACCAAGTAAATTTTAATAAATTCAAATCAGTTAATAAAGTAACTATTTTACAATTATACCCTATAATTCTATAAAATTCTTTGAAAAAAAAAAATTCTAACAACTCTACCCTCCCTTCGCAAATGCCGACTGACAAATCAAGAGAGAAATGCAAAACAAAGATGCTTATAGAAATTAAGAAATTGTCAATTTTAGAATGGCTGGACAAGATTTGAATGGAAATTTTGTTTATTTTTTTTAATTCAAACCAAACAGTATAAATAGTTTCAAAGTCATACTAATGTGCAGATCGGTTTCAAAAAAGGATTAAACAACACGATATTTATGATCATAACATGAAAATATGGAAGAGAAAAAAGTACACATACACACACTTACCAGGCATGTGGCTTTGATGACTGTCTCAGCGTCATAGCCAGCAAGGTCCATCCCTTCGAGAATTGTCGGCATCACATCCATGAGGTCGTGTTCCCCGTCGCCGTCGCCGGCACCGGATTCTCTCTTCCGGCGTTGTTCTTCCATCCATTCCTCCATGAGACAGTCCAATTCTTTTGAAGCTTCCTTCATGGCCTTCCCATATCCACCAAAATCCAACCATCTCAGAAAAGGAATGGCATCTCCCACCACAAACTGCCCCGCCAACCCGAAGAAACTCCTCATGGCTTTGCGGCACCGTCTCATCTCCTTCTCATCGCCGGCACAAGCTCCAAGGAACCGCTTCCCACAAACCATCATCAGAATCACGTTCAAATTAATATTCCCAATCCATTGGTCCATATCAACAAGTATGTGGTCTGAGGTGGCAGCTTCCTCCCTCTTTGTCCACAGATTGTAAAGCTTCCTCACAGATCTCTTTACCTCACAAACTCTGATATCTCTCTGTAACTCAAGATGGCGGTTCGAAAGCACCTCCGAGGCTACGATTTTACGCATAGATGTGTATAAGTGGACGCCGACTCGGATGGTGAATATGGGTCCGTATTTGTCGGCCATTGCTCCTAATGTTTCGTGGGGAAGTTGTTTTGAAGCTCCGCACAGCGGCAAGTGGCCGAGCGCCGGCTGCTGCAGGAGGGTCTCTGCGTTTGGAGCTGACTCTGGCCTTCTTCAGAACAAGAAATGAAAAGAGAAGCAACAAGACGAAGAAGAGTGCAACTATGGAGTTGCTGAGAAATGGTGAAATGATTTCCATGTCAGTTTCCACAGATCTAAGACCGGACGAACATTAATCAGGCCAGCTGAGGAAGAGGGATGATCAACGACGTATTTTTATCTTTTTTTTTTTTTTTCCTTTTTTCAAAGCCAAGCGTGAAGATAGAGAAAATAGATTGGATTAACTACTATTAATTAATGATTTAAATTATGTATCAATGCTATTGATTAGTTGACTCGATAAACATGTCTAATTTTGCAATTGTAATAAATCAAGAATAATTAATTGGGATATTTAAATTATTATTGAAAATATTAATTGATTATTATATTATATTTTTTGTTAAAATATTATTTTGGTTCCTGCTTGGTTCATTTTAATCTTTCTACTATGAAAATGTTCATTTTTGTC